TTAGATGATGGAAAAAAATAAGCAACCAACGGATCTATACTTTTTTCTTCTTATTTCTTGGCACTATGGCTTCCAGCCTTTGGCCATATGCAATTTCGATTGAGTTGCCAATTTTTGATAATTCTTCGAAATGAATCTTTTCTGCCTACTTCAGACTTCAGGATATCATTGTCGTCGCAGTTGTTGCTGTGGAACTTTGGTGTGGAATTTTGGATATTATTAATAATAGGGAAAAGGAAATCGCGGAATAAAAGTAAAAGCAAACGGAATTTTTAAAAGGTGACCAACATGATAGAGTAGGCAGAATATTATAGTTATAGGTAAATCTAGACAATGAAGGATGGCCATTATGAAAGGAAATGAGATGGTAGAAGCAATGATAAGTGGATAAATAATAATCTAAATTTTAATATCATTTTTCCTTATGAACTGAGCCAAATCATTATAAACGGAATAATTAGTATACGATAGTAACAATGGTTTAGATGTTGGTAAAGAAATTTGTAAAGAAATTATAGATTGAAAAAACGAAGCACGGTCATATCTTGGACATGAAAAGAAAAGGTGGTTCAGATTGCCAACGTCTTGTTCGTATTCGCACATTGGATCGGGTATAATATTGAGTCTAGCAAGATGTTCAGATGTGTAAGTATATCCTAATCTCATTCTTGTAATGATTGAAGTAACACGTATTTCAAATGTATACGCGAAAACCAGGGTTTGCCAGGGATGTCGGGCTGTATACCATGAAAATATCTACCCGTAAATTTACTGCTTGCTTCCTACATAGTTTGCCAGGATTCTTTAAGATAAATAGCAGGCAGTATAACAGTGTCATGAACAAAGTTTCTATATAAATCTACATCCCCGTTATTTACTGCATCTTTAGCTAAGATATCGGCTCTCTCGCTACCTCTAATATCACTGTGACCGGTATCCACACAAAGAATACAGAATTACCCTTTAAATAGCACTTGTAAAGGGCTTCACGGATTTTACAAATAACTGGGAAAATTTTACCTAATTTAAAAGGGAATTTACATAATGACTGCAGAGCACTTTTGGAATCAGAAAATATCATTGTTTACCCCTTAAATGAATTTGTGACTATGCGAAGACGACTGTCAAGAATAGCTAGTTTATTTTTATTCCTCGTGTAATGTTATGTCTGTCACCATTTTTATTAACAAAACTATTATTTTTCTTAACATTATTAATTTCGTAAATGTACTCTGACGCTAGTGTAAAAATGTTAATCTCTTTAAACTTTTCTTAAAGACACTCTGGGGCCCATGATAGTAAATTGCCCTAACCGCACGCTTTTGCAAGTCAAAGACTCTGTTAATATCAGCGGCATTACCCCAAAGCAAAATGCCGTATGTCATTAAACTGTGAAAGTAGCTGAAGTAAACCAATCTGACGTTTGTTGTATATTTCAAAAAGGCTTTTGTACACCCCATACTCAAGAGTGGTGACAGACGCAGTCTCACGAATTATCGACCAATTTCTGTATTACCAGTTTTATCGAAAATCTTAGAAAAAATTTTAAACGAGATTTCTGAGTTATCTAGAAATATCCTTGCTGGAGGCTCAATGTGGATTTAGATCTGGTAAGTCTACAGAAGACGCTGTCTTAGAGTTGACTGGCTTAGTTTAACCATTGTGACGATTTCAAGTGTAATAATGCTTACCTATGAAATAAAGATTATTTTGAATTTGAATTTTTGTGAATTTGAATTTGAATTTAGTGGCTAAGCATATAAATGCGAACAAAAAAACTATTGGCATTTTTCTGGATTTGTCTAAAGCGTTCGATACCGTCTAGTCTGTGTCTCTATTCTATGAAAGAAACTACAGACCATAGGTATACGCGGAATCGCTTTAAATATGTTCCACAGCTACCTTAGCGACAGAGCCCCATGTGTGAAGGTTGATAGTTTCTTAAATCATCACGTATCTCTCTCATATGGCGTCTCACAGGGTAGTCTCCTTGGTCTCCTTGGTTGTTAATCTACCACTACATTAATGACCTGTGCAAATTAAAATTGGTAAATTTTGAAATTTTAACTTAACCGATGATACTGCCATAATTGTTCATGGTGACACTTGGGATAATGTCCGCTCTCACGCTGAGACTGCAATGAATGAATAATCTATTGACTCCCAATTTGGACAAAACAAAATAAAATACCTTCTCACCAGGTTACTCACATCACAACCGGATGAATCTTTTTCAATTTATGCACACCATTGGACTAAATAGTCAATCCTCTGACAGCCCTGTTATCGTTAGAGAGGGGAATATCAAATATCTAGGTGTTATTGTGGGCTGTCGTCTAACTTGCGCAGAGCACATCGAATCGGTAAATGTTCGTACTCGTAAATTAATTAACATTTTTTTTAAACTACGATTTGATGCTGACTTTTTCGTTTTAAAAATGGCATATTATGCGCTTGCGCAGTCTATTATATCGTACTTCATGACAGCTTGGGGAGGTTCTCGTGAGACTCGGATGTTACGCCTTGAAAGATCACAAAGAGCGATTCTCAAGGCTATGGCGTCGAAACCTATAAGGTTCCCCACAATAGACCTATATGCATCATGGAAAGTGCACTCTGTTAGGAAACTGTTTGTCGCGGGTGCTATTTTACGTAAACATTTAAGACTACCTGACCTATAAATATATGATGCAAATGTATTTAGGGATAAACGAAGAACAGATAGAGTACCGATGTGAAATTGAGAGGTATAGAATTTCATTACTAGGCCACCATTCTTACTTTTGTGGTTCTCCGCATTATAATAAAATTAATAAACAATTAAATATCTATCCTCTACGTTATCGTGATTGTAAATTAAAGGTGTCTCAGTGGCTTCAAAGTCTCAGTTATAATGATGTTGAAAAACTTGTTACTCTGTAGGTATTTACACACAGACTCACAAACACACACAAGCATGCGCATCACACATCGTACGCGCACAATAAAGCATCCTTCGAACCATCTAAAACACAGTTATTATTAATGTATAATTTGTTACTTGTATCTATAAATTCTTTTGTTACTATTTTGTTAAATTAATATAAGTTTACTTGCATAAAGTGGAACATCTCATTACACTAGTTATCCGAAGTTATGCGTTAGCGTTCATAGCTGCAACACTGTCTTAATGACTACTGTAGTTATTAGCGACCATAATCTTATCACGTATGTCTTGTTGTTGTTCCAAATAAACATATTATTATTATACATATTTTTGTTCTACTGGACCGCCTGTGCAAGCAACTACAGTTAGTGGTGCTAATGGTAACTAGGTGACAACTCACATGAGTTGTCCGGACCTCCGAATAAGTGGTGACGAGTTTCATTAATTGGGAATTGAACTTAAATTGTCAACAGATTGATAAACATAGGTAATTTGAACAATTTCAATGAACTGCTCAATAAATGAAGCCGGTCTGATAGTCAACGATTTGGCAGAATTAATAATATAAATTATATCAACATCAACTATCTCTTTAAGGCCCAAAATAATTAGCAAGCTATAATATCCACCTATATGTATGTATATTAAGTCAAATAACGACAGAAAAACGGCTACGACTTGTCCAAATTGATTGTTATATTATATTTTACTCTTTTGAAGTTAGCGTTTGCCGTATTAAGTTTCTACTGACGTTGTTTTCTTAGCAGTAGAGCTCCGTGTGAAAAAGTTCGCCGATGGAAGTACTGTCAGCTTGCCTATTTCTGCCGCCAAGCAGTAATGTCAGCACTATTACGTTCCGGTTTTGAAGGGCAAGGCTGATAGTGAAATTAGTCATAATGGACTTCTCAACTTATGTCTTCAAGGTGACGGGCGCAGTAGCATTGCCCTGAGGGGCACTCAGATCTTTGCGATTTAAACCTCCGAGTGGCACCGCAACTGTTATGGACATCTGTGTGGCGTGGCTTACCATCACACGCACGACTTGTTCGTCCCGTAGTGACTTCATATAAAAAACCCCTGTAGTGACCCGGGACTTAATGCAACTCGTATAAAAGATCTTTTTTCCGTCGCAGAAGGCGCTTTGGTTTCTGACGGTAGGTAATAAAAAAAAAATATATATTTTAATATCTAATAGATACACACTTGGCCACAATCTCACCTGATGTTAAGCGTCGATGTGACCTACGATGGGACATGTGGTCTGTGATGGGACGCGTCTGTCTAAAAAATGCGTATTCACTGTAGCCTTGAATAGCCCCAAATTGTACTTTTCGGGAAACACCGATGCCGGTAGAGCATTCCATTCGTTTGCCGTACGCATCAGTAAGGAGGAAGCAAATGAAGCGCTTAGTGCGAATATGTGGAATGTCAACGATATAAAAATGGAGTGCTCCGGACCTTCTAGTCGACCGAAGAAGGAACGGTGAGAGTGGAACTAAATTAAAAAGTTCCTGCGCACACTCCCCGAAATGTATCCGATAGAAAACCGACAAGGAGACTACTTTTCTGCGATGATCGAGAATTTATATCGTCGACTCCACAAGAGAATTGTTCCTCCACCGAGTAAAGGCAGCTAACTGGTAATGGGCAGAGCCGTCCCAAAGGTGGCAGCAATACTCCATACACGATCGAACTTGTGCTTTATACAGATTTAAAAGCTGTTCAGGTGTGAAGTACCGCCAGACATTGTAAAGTATGCTTAGTTTTCTGGCAGCAGTTTTTGCCAAGCACTCGATGTATCGCCCAGAGTTGACGTTGGATGATAAGTCCAGACCAAGTAGCTCAAGGTGGTCCCTTATCGGCACGGATACATCTCTGAAAGACGGAGTAAAGTGTAGGGGAACTGTTTTGACGTGAAAAGACACGCCTGTGTTTTAGCCGCATTAAACCGGGTTAAGCTTCCAGGTTTTCGGGACTTGTCCATGTAATTAACATATTATGTGTAATTAATTGGTTACTTCCCTTTTGACACAATAGGTTTGGACGTGGTTATGTTCGCTTTTGACCTTTCCAGAAGAATTGTCGCATCTGAGCAGTGAGGCGCGCGGCGCGAGCATGCGCGTGCGCGTGATTAACGACTTCGCGTGCTTGCCTACGCTGCCACCGTACGACACGCACCGTGAGGGTATGCTACTCGACACCACTTGCTCCGACACTCGACTTGTCCTGCAGGAGGTAGAACGTCATTTATTTAAGACAGATACAGAATAAAAACCATGACATTGCCCAATGATTAATTGTGTGCAGATATGATAGAAATTCCTATGATATCTGCGCACATCGCAAATGTGCGCAGATATACTAATAATAATAATAATAATAATGATAATAATAACAATAATAATAATGAATCTTTTAGGCCTTGGGAGAGGCGAGCGTCTAAAAGATATAATAATAATAATTCACTTATTTCAATTCACTTGGACCCATAGTGTTAGTTACAATGTCACTTAAAAATTGAATGTTAGTAATAATAACATTTTGCTCAATAAAGGTGGCTTAACTGATTTACAGCAGAATTAAAGCTATTTAATGATAGCGAGGAGTAAAAATGTAAACATTACCTTAAATTAAATTATTGTTATTCTATTAATAAAATTTTATTTTTCCTTGCAAAAATTAAAATGTACAAAAGAAATTACTAATAAGCAAGTATATATCTCTCTCTGGTGTTCGTTTTGCCGCGCTGTTGCCCGCAGGCGTCTTCCAGTCGCGCCTTCAACCACCGTCACACGTGGCTCTTTCTCCACGGTTCCTCGTACAACAACTCTGTAATCGAGCAAACACTCTCCGACGCTGTTATTTTGCCTGATGCTGACGTTACCTGGTCTGACGTCAACTCCTTGCTGGATGTGTATAAAATCAAAGTAAGTGTGTATAGTGTAAATCAAAGTAAGTGTGTAAACTGAGTGAATATAGTTTTATATGAAAGAATGTGTTTTGAAATAGGAGTTGAGAAAGAATAGAATATCTTGAGAGTTCGAGATGTACCTTAGTTAGAAAATGTGTAAAACAGTACAATAAACCAAGTTTTGAAGATTATCCCAGTTTATATTCATAAAAGTACCTCTCGCTACGCAACACGAGCTACGTCCAAGGCTACAGTACCTACTTAGATTAAACCTTTATTTTCTTATTTTTAGATTTTTATAATAACATGACGCGCTGCGGCAAATCATCAGCAAAATTATGCGGCATGATTATAAAACGTTTAATTGCCAGATACAATACAGTAATTATACATACAGATCTTAAGTAAAATTATGTACATTGTATTCAAGCTGCAAGCAGATGTGCAAGTGCGATTACCTAGGGTTTCATGTTTGGTCTCTACAGTTAATTGTATTTCAAATTGAAGTAAATCAGAAGGTATTTGTAAATTCTAAGTATTCTTCTATAGTAGGAACTATAAAAGCATTGCCTCAAAAATTTGCCATTTTGTTAATTATTGCAATTTAGAAATATGTCCTTGTGACAATTTAATATAAACTCGTAATTTATTGAAAATATTTATACTTATGTGAAGCAGTTAATCTTATAATTTTTTAAATTTGAAGAAAATATTCCACCTCTAAGGGTGTCAAACTAGGGGATGAATCCGGTTACTTATTTCATTTGCTACGTTTTTGAAAAATTTTATTACAGTTTACTTTTGGTTTTTCTCTGTTATATAACTTTTTGTGACTTCTGTGTTTTGCATGTCAAATAAAGAAGATTCAGATTCATGTGATTGTGTATTCCAAAGAATTCATGTTCCAAATAACAGGATTCTTGCTTCTAAGGCGTACGAGCCGCTAATCAGCACAGAGTGGGCTTTGAATCGGACAGAGAGTGCTAAAGAGTTGGAGGCTTTTTGGGCCCGGCAGCCCTCCGTCGTTGCCAGGCGGAAAGACCTGCGAAACGTCTTCTTGAAAGCTGAAGTCATCGTGAGTATCAGTATAGTCGTAAGTACTCGAGTTCAAAATTAAAAAGTCACATAATTATGTATCCGCTCACGCGATGCGCTCATCCTACCGCAAAATGGCGGCTATTTGGTTTCGCAAATTAGAAAAGGATTCAGTTTAAATACAAGTTTTTAAAAATAAAAGTTATTATTCTGTATTGCTAAATAAATACCCTCCGTACTACAACAAAAACATCTCAAATAAAATGCAGCAATACACCGCAAATCTTGCACTTAAAAAGCACTAATGAAATTTTTAGTGTACTTGGGTAAATATGATAATATTCCGTTTGAGTGGTTCTAATGTTTACCACGAAATTACTCCTTAAAGTATAGTTTATAAACATTTATATTCAGGATAAACTTAAAAAACGCAACTTACGGTATGTTTTCAATAAATAAACACCGACATCACCAGCCCAAACAATAACACACACGATTGTTGTGACGTATTTTTGAATTTGTTTATTTTTTTTAAATGACAGACCCGGGCATTAAAAACTTTATGGTTTGCTAGAGTAGTTACCGAAATAGCAATTAGTATTAGTTCTTTTACGTGTTATAACTTCGATATCCGATAAATCGGTATTAAATCATCACCGGCACCTTTAGGTGTGGTATGCTTCCAGAGACGCATGAATCGCGTGAGCGGGTATGAAACAGAGATATCGTGGAGCATTTTCTTTTTCACCTCGTATAAGCATTGAACAGTTAATGTGAGATCATATTGTAAAGAAATGTATCAGTAGAATAGAAACTTACAGAATCAGCGCAATCTGCATGGACTTTTTCAAGTTGATTTTGACATTTACTAATGATTAGTTCTGAAAAGAACTAATGTAGCACGAATTGAATTGTGAGGCAGTGTGAGATTGAGCCGCAACCCGCAGGTGAGCCAGCCGCAGCACTTCAAGGGCTGGAGCGACCTGCGCGACCGGCAGATCGACACCTACCCTAAACTCACTTACCCCATTATGATGCTCGCCGCGGAGGATTTGCATTTTCGGTATCTACATAATATATCTAATTAATTCTTTTCCTCAAACATGCTCGGAAATATTTGTATTATTTTCAAAAATAAAACACATGTAGTTTTTCGTTTATGGACCATGCAACCTTTATTCAACTCTTAACCGACCTAAGCCAGAAATTAAGTATGTAAATCCCTTAAAGGATTAAGGTAAATCCATATCTCCGTCCACTGCTTTATTTTTTTTTTATTTGTTGTTTTCGTTGACAATCTTTTTAAGGTGTATTACTTTACGCTATAAACAGTAAACATTGAATATTAAACTTAGAGCAAACAAAAAATAAATGATCTAACTTACGGAAACTACAGTTGCTAAACAAACAAGAAGAATTGGTTTTTAACATATCCAGTCATGTATTGTCTTCCTAAACATATGGAATTATTTTCGAACGAGGCTTGGTTGAGGGCAGAGAATATGGTAGATAGAATATTTTGTTTTATGGAGACATTATTTTATTTTAAAAATTAAGTAAGACTCCATTCAAATATTTTTAACAGTGTTACTGTTGCCTCATCTGGGAATCGAACCGTCCGAACGTGAATTTTTATGATGCCCCGATAGAAAGGATCAATTACTTATAAGGATTATTAAATGAGCTCCAGTAAGGAGAGCGACTACGAAAATGGATTATACCCGCCAAGTTTAAAAGAAGAGGCAAAATTGACCGGAAAACTTGGTGCTGATCAAAAGTAAAGAAAAATACTCATTCTTTAATCTTTTATTTCCTCTCATGTTGGATACCGTATTACACAGTAGGAACGGATGTTACCTGTCTCGTAGATGATTTAAAAAAATACATAGTTTTAGTTTTCAATTTGATTTAGGTCGCTAACTAAAATAAAACACAGAAAAGCCGTATTTGAGAGCAGAATAGTGTAACATGGAGTTACCTCACCATGCACTTAGTGGTTAAATATTTAGGGCATACATTTGCGCCTGATTTTAAAGACGATAGCGATATGGAAAGGGAACTTAGGGCTCTGTGGATCAGGATGAATATGATATTCGGGAGAGGTGAAAGTACCGCTCTTCAGAGCGTAGGTACTGTGTAGTGTACCTCTCTGTATACATCCAGTCTGTGGCGAGAGTACACGAACAGGGTTTACAGGCCCCTACGGACTTAACACAATAACACGTTCCGGGCGTTGATGTGGCTGCCCCGTTTCTGTAGCGCATCAGGGATGTTTGCTGACACGCGTGTAGACGAATTTTCACTTTGCGTAAGAGATGCTCGTCCATGATGCGCCGTGTGCGGGCCAGCTCCAACTCCGCTGTACGTAGTACATCATAGGGGATAGGGAGGAATGCCCTACAGATTAGACACTGTATTGAGCTACACGCGTCCAAAAGTATAATTCAATTTCAATTTGTACTAACAGCAGAATAAATTTACATCTTCATATACCTACTAACACATATGAGTCTATTGATACTTGAAACAAATGTATTATTATTGTATTGTTATTGTGGTCAGGTACAACCTGAGGCAGGTGGATACGTACGGTGTGGAGCACAACGGGTCGTTCGATGGTCTAGTGGGCCGACTGCAGCGGTACGAGATAGAACTTGGCGTCGCTTCCGTGTTTATGCGCGCCGACCGCTGGCGCGTTTTGCACTACTGCGCAGAGACACTTGAGCTCAGGTTTTTCTTTAAATATAAAATAGACACACTCGACTACAATTTCACCTAACGCTGCGCGACTATGGTGCGCGTTTTTCTAAAAATGCCTTTTCACTCTAGCCTTGAATAGCCCTAAATCGTAGGTACTTGTCGGGAAATACAGATGTATTTCATTCCTTTTGGAAACAAAAACGGTTCTTATGAATGAAATATTCCGGACTTTCGGCTTCAATTCCACAAGATAATTGCTACCAATTAGTCTCTTTGTGCCGGTACTGCGCAGAGCTCTATCAAAGGCGACAGCAAACGTTCAAACCCAACCAAACTAGTGCCTGATAAACTAAACGAACTAAAAGCTGTTCTGACTGATGTGGACAGCTTTTACCGCCTAACTCTGAAAAGAATTTCCAGTTTTTTTATTCTCTATCTATCTAATCTATTGCAGCACTTTTTGCCAAACAACTGTTGTGGTGACTCTAGCTAAACGTAGATAATAAGTCCGATCCAAGTAGCTCAAGATGGCTACTTGTTCTACGCCCCGAAGTGATCGCGGAAAGTCGGGAGTGAGATACAGAGCACTCCATTTAGCCGAAAAATAATACGTCGGTGTTTTGATGCTTCGGAAAGCGCATTCTAGTTGAACCGCGTGGCCATCGCCTTACATTTACGTCGGATCTCTTCACTATTGGCACGGGCATCTGACACATAGCTCTCGACTGCTGTGCTATAGTCTGCGTATCCAAAGATACTGGCAACAACAAGTCGTTAATGCGCAGCAAGAGCAGGAATAAAGTACCATAGAGGACAGACGAGTACATAACCATTAATGCTCTGGCCACATAGAGGCGGCCACGGAAGCATTGCGGGCGCGGGAATGTTAATCATGTACGAGTTTATATGAACCCTGCCACACTGAAACGCGCAGCAGACGCGCGCCCGCCGCGCCTTTCAGGGTGACAGGGTTCATATGAACTCGTGCACCTATTACAAAAATTCCCGCGCCCGGAACCCGCGGCCGCCTCTGTGTGGCCTGAGCATAATAATTACACGAATTGATCTGTCACTCAGGAAACCGCCTATCTATATGCAGAAGCCAACAGGAATTCCGTAAGCTTGTTTAAAAGGCTATCGTGCCAAACCCTGCCGAAAAACTTTCAAATATTTAGAGCGTGATCGACAATTGGTCGACCACATTTCTTGACCGCCTGACCCGATAAATGTGCGGCATGTGCAAGAAAATCCCCAGTAGATCAACCACAGCGAAAACCACTCAAACTTGGCTCACTGAGAAGATCACTTGCTTCAAAGTATCCAAGAAGACGGCTGTTTAATACACACTCCATAGTCTTACCGAGTACGACTACCCTTCTTTGGTGCAGGCTGCATTTACAAGCTTTCAGGTTTTCGGGACTTGGCCAGAGCTCATAGAGAGACTAGACATGCGAGTCAACACCGGAGACAACTCGGGACACAGTTTTGCAAGACAATCGCTGTGGTACTGTCAGGGCCACCAGCTCTGTTGACGTCGTCGAGGTGTATGATACGTTATCAGGAATGGCGATACATGGGCGACCAACATCACAATTCATTGTAATGTAAAGTAACTTACCTATCCTTCACTCATTATTTGTTTTTGTAATATTTCCTAAAATGTCTCATAAAGTACTTGCTTATTAGCCATATGGTAAATTATCGTGGCTGCCACTCGCTGTGCAGGGGCGCGTTTCTATTTCGGCAGCCGTCGCAGTCGGCGGTGACGAACGTGTTCGTGCTGCCGTTCAGCCGCGGAGTGTGGAGCGCGTGCGTCGGCGTCACGCTGCTAGGCGGCCTGGTGCTGGCCGCACTCTCCCGCGCCTGCGCCCGCGTCGATCGCTCGCTGCGCCTCATAACGCCCGCCGAAACCTTCACTTTCGCCGTCGGCGCTGTCTGCCAGCAAGGTGTCGGCTTTGTCTAGTTCGGTCAACGTGTTTACTTCACGAAACCCCTCATTAATGATTTACAAACTCATCATTCATGTCAGGGTTTCATGTGACGCCGGCACTGACGTCAGCGCGGCTGGTAATGTTTTCGTCAATGCTGATGGCGCTTTTCTCGTTTACTGCGTACTCCGCGAAGGTGGTGTCGATCTTGCAGGCGCCCAGTGACGCCATCCGTACCATCGACGACATCACGCACTCGCGCATGGACCTCGGCGTACAGGAGACTACCTACAAGAAAGTCTACTTCGCAGTAAGTTACCATTAGCACTATCCTATTTTTGTAATGAAATTTAATATCTATTACATCATTATGAGCTGTGTGTGATGCTGCAGGAAAGTACGGACGCCGCAACGCAACGGCTGTACCGCAAGAAGCTATTGCCGCTTGGTGACGCCGCCTACCTTAGCGTCGTCGACGGCATAGAGCGCGTGCGCGCCGGCTTCTTTGCGTTTCAGGTAATATTCATATCACATCAACATAATCTCAGAGGTGATACTACTAACCTCCCATTTAGGGAGGAATCATTATTAACACTCAGAAAAAAATCCTTCGATCGGCCGGATTCGAACGGACGTCTTCTAGTATACCGTGGCGACTTTTTAGCCGTAGCGCCATCTATGAGACATCTTGAGTATTTCGTCACCCAGTTGGATACCTTTACAGCTACCAGCCGTGGCTAGAGATGTCGCTATTCATTTTATTTAAATTTTTATTGAAATGAATTCAAATTGAAATAGATTTAATTGAATTTAATTAAATAGGACGAATTGTTTATTGTGCATTTTTTTGGAAAAAGTATAAATGCGATTATACTTTTATTAAATAAGCCACGTTGTGTGTGTATGTGTGAGTGTAAATTATGTTAAAAATTGAAATTGGCACTTTCACTTCGTTTAATGAAATTTACATTATAAAAATATGCGGCTTAATTAGTTTTTTCTTACATTCAACATAAAATCTAACCCCCGACACGCGTTACTTTAAAAATAAAGAGAACCGCCGAGGCATACTTCTTTACCTAGACATGCAATTCAGACTAAATAATATATTGTAGCTAATAAGCTTAGGAACGATGATGACGTTTAGTCTGCCACACTGGTATGATGATGATGGTTAAGGCCCCGACACATTGGCCAAGGATTGTGCTTGGCTTGGCTTTTACAACGTAGATATCGCGTTTGAACGCGATGTTTAGATCTGCACCATTAGCGAATGCTAGTGCTACTAAACGTTCACAGATGCACCAAGATAACATGAAATTAAACTCATAGCGACGATTCACCCCCGCTCGCCGAGCAATTTCGTACAAAATTATGTACACGTGCAGGTGGAAGAAAGCTCCGGCTACGACGTCATTTCGCGCACCTACACAGAACGCGAGAAGTGCGGCCTGGCGCAGGTTCAAGCCTTCACACTGCCCATGGTGGCTGTGCCCATCCGGAAGCACTCCGGCTACCGCGAGTTGCTCGCCGCCAGGTCCAAACCTCTATTTCCACTAACTACTATGCAATTTGTTGTACCTTCTCTCTTCTGACGAAAGCATTGTCTTCAATTTTCTATTAGTACCACCAACCGTCGCTAGGAATAATTGTTATTAAAGCTGTTACGTTAAACTAAACAATAAAAAAGAACCGTTTGCTGTCCGTCTTTGTGATGCGACTGTTAGTCTCGGAAATTACTATTGCAATTGACTTCAAGTTCGTCATCGCTGCGCAATATGCTTCGTTGCTCTCGTCTGTTTTGTGATGAGTAATAGTTCCGAAAAGAAAATAAAGGAATGAGCTTATTCAAACCACCATATTTAGTAAATTATTAATTAAGTTTTCATACTTTAGTAAATATACTAAGTTATGAAAATTTTTGATTTTGACTATAAAATTAAGAAAATAGCCGAATGAAATACTGAAAATTCCGAAAAATCTTGCTGACGTAATATCTATTACTCTGCCAACTTATTTTATATTTTAACGAAAACTATTATCAGTCATTTTTATCATAAAATATATTAATTTGATATGATTAGAAGGCACGCTCGGGCCGCTCACTCGACTCGTGCTGCTTTTTCATAATTACTAACTTAAGCAACCTACTGAATAGGGGCGCAACCAAGCTTAGACAGACCTATGCAACATAGAAACCAGTGCGTAACAATAATAATTTTGTCGAAACGAAGATTCGGCGTTTTAAACTGTAATATTATGGAAAATACACTGCGTCCTCCGCACCTTCAGCGTTTAAATTAGGCACACTCTAGTAGAGAACAGACAAGTAGTCGACACGTCGAGGCAGGTTTAACCTTATTATTTATTGTCCTTATATAATAATAATATAAATTAAACAGATTCCTCCAGAGTGGTGAAAATGCTTTTGTAGAATAATATAGTATGTATTTTCGGCATAAGTTACTATTATTTCAGAAATTTAGTTTTTTTGTCTTAGAAATACAATTTGAACAACTCTTGATTGATTACTAAATAGAAATAATTTTGTCGGTATATTTCGTGTTTATTTTTCAGTAACTCATTTTGCCGCAGCTCAGTGAGCAATTTCACTTGTTTTTCAGAACCTTTATTATTTCCGTTTCGTGGTTTGCAAAGATGTGGAAAGACCGACGACATCGACAGCGAGTCATGTGAACAGGTTGCGGTGGCAGCGCGAGGTGGGCCTGATGGCGCAGACGCGGCGCGTGTGGATGTCGGCGCGGCCGCGCTGCGACGCGGCCGGCGGCGGCTTCCTCAGCGTCGGCCTCGTCGACGTGCTGCCCGCGCTGCAGGTCGCCATATACTGTGTATCGAGTACACTTGGCATCACACAAACAACAACAAGGGAGTTTACTCCACAGCATGGACCAGCAGTCATGGATCAATAACTCAACACTAATCGCGACCCGGGACGGCGTAGTTAGTCGGGTATTTCAGGGAACAACTTAACGCTTGTGAGAAGTCGCTAAAACGCACGGCTTGATTTGTAATGTTAAAAAAGTGAATAGTCGGGTTTTAGGGCTGCCGGTGGTCAAATACGACGAAACTTAATGGCAACGAACTAAAGTGAGTTTGCGCATTTAAATACCTTGGCCATTTCATAGCCGAATACCTTAAAAGAAAGAAGGGCGGTGGCAATTAGGCGCAACACGTTGGCCCGACGATTTGCACGTTGTAGTAAGCAAGTTAAAGTAACATTATTTAAAGCATACTGCCAAGTCTTTTACCCGTGCAGTCTCTGGGCCAACTTTGCACAGAGGGCTATCAGCATCCTTCGAGCCCAATACAATAACGACTTCAGAATGCTGATGGGGCTACCGTGGATCTGCAGCGCCTTGGGCATGTTTGCGCAGTATAGGACTGATGACTTTTATGCTATAATGCTCAAAAAGACTGCCTCGTTGCTGTGCAGGCTGCGGGTCAGTCGCAGCTCTATCTTGATGACTGTGGCGGCAAGGTATGACTCGCCATGCTTGCGCCATTTTGCCCAAGTGCTGATCAACAGGAAGCAACTTTTCTTGTTGTTCAGACACTAATTTATTTAGACGTAGGTACACTAACATAGATATAAGAATTCTCTTGTTACTAACCAATTTGGCCATTGTAGTCTGTTTTATGAATAAATTAAATTAAATAAAAAAAAAAATTTAGTATCTATTGGCACACCAGACGTTCCGGCGAGCACCAAAATTTTTTACATTGACGAGCTACAATTTATCAAAGCTCCCTACTCTAATTATATGTAGTAATAACAAAGAAATCGACTAGATGATGCTTACTTCACAATTTTTTATGGGTCCTGCCTGCTATTCGTTTAATATTTGTTTTGTACCAATATCCAGAATTCATCTTGAGCCAAGAGCTTGTTTTACTATCGTTTAAAGGCGGTTTCCCACCGCCACGTAGTTTCACATGGGAAGAGGACCGCGGTTCAGCAGGCTTAGCATGAGTGGAAATAGATAAAACTTAAGCCTGTAGAGATATCTCTCTCTTCTCTACCGATTATATCTCACCTCCGAGCACGACGTAACGGGAAGAGACACTCTCTACCGTAGACAAAGTTTTCTCTACGTTTCTCTACGTAGCGATAAATAAGTTGCCGCAACTAAAATTACCTTTCATTTTCATAGCGACTAAACCGGTAATAGTTTTTAAAGGCACAACTCCAACTCCCTTCATTCATTTCCGCCGTAACGTTTTTTTACTGTTTATGGCGTGCATTAATCGGCCTCAGGGAGATGAAATGGTTCGCAAAATTCGCGTACCGTCGTTCTTGTCTCTTTCATGCCAATTTTTCTTCGTAAAAACTTAATAAATGATTACAATAGGCACGAGGCACTTTCATGGCATAAAATTACTATTAAATTTGAATCACGAATTAGAAAGATATAAGTATTTAAATTACAAACATCGCTTGTCTTCTGCCTCAAGGGTAGAAATATTTCGCTACGGCGATTTATCAAATGTATACAAAATTTGACTAGCGTGGTATGGTTAAAGAGAAATTCTCTTCATTTGGGCATTTCTCCAAAGCCGCAATTTTCTGTGTCCATACACTAAACTCTTAGACTAAACTAAGACTAAATAAACTCCACTTAGTTGTCAAAATAAAAATCTACAAAAAAGAGTTTATGCTCGGTCGGAAGCACAAAATCTTCCCAATAAACCGTTCGGACCTAATGGAAAAAAATCCGAAATACTTAAAACCTGACAACGATGGCGTGTCTCGAATTCAGAATCCAACACTGAAACCGTCTCAAAATTGAAACCGTATATTAATATTAGACTTTAGTTCACGTATAATAAATTAGATGACAATACTTATTATCCTAAAAATAGTTTTATCACAATACAACGATTGCTGCGTGTCCCAGGCTTACGCCGGAATTCGGTGTTATACATCACAAGTGAAGCATTTTAGAAGCTTCGTAATTCGTTCATATTATTCGTCCATCACACACCTGCGGCTGTAAAGAACAGGTGGATGATTTGTTGCCGATTTTAATACTTTTTGCGTGTAAATATGTAATTCAGAGGATTTGGTTTAGGTTGATTTTTTAATTCGGTGTATGCGATATTTCAAAAACTAAATTTTATGGTTGTATATAATGTTTTTATAATATTAATGTGTTATAACGAATAAAATATAATAACAATTTATTGGTTTTACAAGAATTGTCGTTTACGAGCGATACCAAGATTAAATATATTTTCTGAATACCGTGGCCTTGGATCGGCAGATTTTATACCACCGAATACAGAAAAGGTTCCACCGAAGTCGGAAAAAATTGCCATCAAAGCCATATTTTCTTTGAAAAGCAAGAGTTTTATACGTTTTTTCATGTAAATGCTTAGTTAATATTATTGATTTTCACAACTTTATATTACTACTTGGTTCCCTCTGAAAATAAAAAAGGAAAATCAAAACAGAAAAGATAAATTAGAAGTCAAGAAGATGAAGGAATCTGCTAGAAAATCATAGATAAAAACGATCCAATTATATGAAACATTTAAAAAAAAATAGAAAGATGTATGCAAAGAAAAAGCAGAAGGAAAGATTTTGAAGTTGTTTCAATTATCTCGTCATGTATAAAAAGTAATGAAAGGTATTATAGTCGTGCAAGTTCCAAAATATTGATTGTTTAAATGCAGATTGCTTTCTAATTTTTTTTTTAAAGATATACGATAATACTTCGTGTAATTGAAAAAAGGCTGAACAGCCAACCTGAAAACTGGTTTTAATTAATAATAGGGGTTAAAGTATGAAATTGCCGATTTGTACTGAAAAT